TGGCACTGCTATGCTGACACTGCTTCGCTGGCACTGCCTTGCTGGCACTGCTTCGCTGGCACTGCTTTGCTGGCACTGCTTCGCTGGCACTGCTACGCTGACACTGCTACGCTGACACTGCTTCGCTGGCACTACCACTACTACGCTGGCACTGCTACGCTGACACTGCTACGCTGACACTGCTACGCTGGCACTGCTACGCTGACACTGCTACGCTGGCACTGCTACGCTGGCACTGCTACGCTGGCACTGCTACGCTGGCACTGCTACGCTGGCACTGCTACGCTGACACTGCTACGCTGACACTGCTACACTAGTACTCTTCAGACAGTACATTTCCTGAGATTGACTGCTAACAGCTTCTCAACACACAACAACTTATTGATCAGATCTAGTCACTGATATTGTATCCAGTACATTTGCGACATATTTATAGGTACCATCCTGATTGTCATCGTTGTTGAGTGTTTCAAAATTGGTACCCACAAAGAAATATTATTATAACGAATGCGTGACATTTTTTAACATCTCTCTTTATCTGCAGGTTAAAAATGCTTATATAAATTTTTTGAACCACTGTTATGTTGACACTGAAGTTGAAATGAAAGAGATATATACCAGTAATCACATGTGGACACTATTTGAGAATTTCCTTGTTGATATGGCTCTGGTGAGTAAAAGTGGTATCAGGACTTTCTAATTATATAGCTACATCAAAGGCAGATAATAGATAAGGGTGGGAAACTAGAGAGACATGTGATGAAGGTCTCACTGATCATGAACTGTTACATTATCATAGAATGCCTTTGTCTTCTTGAAAAGATTCATACCTGAGACATTGTCTGCAATCAAGTTTTCCTATAACCATCCTGGGAATTTCACAGTGTTCTTGGTCAGAACAAGTTTAATTGTCACGCTTGATACTAGCAAGGAAATCTGAAAGTTTGCATCGTGTGTTTTCAATGCCATCACAGAACACCTAGACATGATTATATTTATATTTACACATGTAAGAAACATTTTGTGAATTTCAAATGATGGTTGAAGTCTTAACCTACTAATATGTGAATGTATATTATTCTTATAATAAACAAAATGTTTATCTTGTATATTTTGAAATAGGTGTGTAATGCCACCCATGATAGGAAACATGCTGACACAATGCTAGAGAAATATGTCACAGAGACTGTAATGAACATCATCACGATGTATTTCAACTCTCCCTTCTCAGACCAAAGTACTACTGTTACTGTAAGTAATTAACACTGCACTCTGATTGGCTGGAAATATGTCGCATTGGAATCTCCCATTGGTTAATTATGTTTGATCAAACATCATGACAAAACTTGTTAAAAAAGTATGGTCAAAAGAAAACAGTCAAACTTGAATATGTCTTGTGTATTTATAAGGCAAAAGAAAGTGACAATGAGAACTTGTCACTATGGAAACATGATCTGAAGTGATGGTATTAACTAGATATATGTTTGAATGTGGTACAAAATACCCCCATGATTCTTTAACTCAATGTTCTCTGATTATTTTCAACAATATGAACAAGAACATGCAATTTACAATATTTTTGTTTAATGTTGTATATCAAACGCTGTTCTTATAGCAATTCTCCATCACTCATATGCTCTGGTTGTTTTGGATTTTTCATCTAACGAATACTGTTTCATGTCCTGCAAATGAAACATTTTTAGTTTATTATAAATCAATTTCTGGTTTAGTCTAAAGTATCAAACAACAATATTAAACAACTGGTGTTTTGGTGTATATTTCATCTTTAAGTATACTATCATAATTTGTGTCTCTTTGCAGACTCGTCAACCTGTCTTTGTTAAGCTATTGCAAGGGGCTTTCCGTGTATCCCAGTGCTCATGGTTGTCAGGGCAACAGAAGTTTCATGTTGAGACGTGTATCAAGACTTTGACTGATATGGGTAATATGTGAATTATATGTTGTTGTTGTTGTTTGTGTGTTTGTTTCAATGTTTGGGTGAGAAAGGATTATACAATGTAACTAGCAATACAGGTGATTAATATGAGTGTGCTGTTTAACATACATGTTGCATGTGTTTGATGTGGAATATTCTTGCCCTGGGGTGTTCTGCTTCTAGAAAAGATGGTACAGGTACCCAGCTTTCTTACTTGTGATGGAAATATTGCCTACCTTTATATGCAGCGCATGCAACTTTGCTATTACTGGTAGCTTATCAATTAACCCACTTCCTCGCAATAATTATTTAGTGCTTGGTGTTTATCTACATTGATAATTCCAAAATATCCCTGCCATGTTATTTTACATTTAATTTATGACGATTAGTAACTGAAAACCTTTTGCCGATGTTGTGTTGAAATTTCAAATTAATGATCTAATGTCATCTTGGTACTTAATAACTGATATATCAATAATTGGCTTCCTAATTAATTGGATGATAGCCTTCACCTAGCTACTAAGTCAAAAGTCAGCTGAATGTCAGAAAAGTTTGGTCAGTTTTAGATCTAATTTAATTTAATGTATGAAGTTATATCCACACATTGGCTGAACTTGCCCTAATTATTGTGTTGTTAGTAAGGACATACTTAACACATGTAAAGATGACATAAATGCTTTAATTTAATCTTCTCCTATTATCACTGCTTATTGCTTCACTAGTACTGTCTTTATGTAACACACTTACCTGTATACAGACAATTTTCAGTGTCTCTTTGTATATACATGTAGTGGGAGTTACCATAGTGATGGACCAGCATGCAATATTTCTCTAGCTGTGCTCTTTATTACTTTGATTTATAGCTTTCTTAATAATTATGTTTGCTTTGTTCATAATAGCTGTCCATGTTCATAATAGCTGTCCTGGTGTTTTGTTGTATTGTCCCATTGTCATCTTGTTACCCTTGGTTGTGTTCACTGACATCACAGCAAGTCTTCTCATCTTTGTTGTATGTAGTTATCTCTAAGTCATCATTTTGTTTCTTCACAACATTTATTTCTTAAATTATCATGAAAAGTGTGACATTTATTTGTTTTATTCGTATCTTTGGTTACCTATATATGTACTTATTATTGTATGTTTTTTTATTCTTTATTTTCTCATCTTATGGGGATCATCTTATGACATTAAGAGTTTCATGTCTTGTTTCACCATGGTTTTGTGAAATGCCTTCCATTTCTCTGTTTTATCTTTGATGACAATGGTTGTCTTGTGACAAGTCCTTCATGATTTTCTTAGAATATTGCTTTCATATTTCTCTACATTGTCTTTTGTTTGTTTATTTCTCTTTATTTAAAGTTGATAGTTTGTCCCGTGCCATGTCATTCATGCCTTGGCATTGTCTGCTT